CGGATGTGTCAGCCCCATCACATATTTTTTAAAGTCTTTATTGAATTTGTTATAATATTGCTTCTGTTTTATGTTTTAGTTTCTTGGCCGCGAGGCACGTGAGATCTTAGCTCCCCGACCAGGAATCGAACCCGCACGCCCGCCTGCATTGGAAGGCGAAGTTTTGACCGCTGGACGGCCAGGAAAGTCCCTGAGCCTGCATCCTGAAGGGTCCCAGATGACTCAGATGCAGGTGGGCCACAGACCACTCTTTAGGAAACACTGATGAGAGTGTGGTTGATTTTCATACGGAGACCCTGACAACTTTAGCTGTAGTAAAGTTAGTAGATATTAGGCTCACCCTGACAGTCTTTTCCCACACCCTGTTCCCACCCCGCCCCCAGAAAAGCATGTTTCTAATGAAGGGAGAAATGCATACCAGTTTAGGGGCTCGACATCAGGATCCCATGATTTACCTACTTTCTTCTCATAAAGCTAGGGATTAGTACTCCATTCTTCAGCAGATCCCTGAGAGAAGCGCTCACACCCGACCTTACGGCATTCACCCAGCAGATGGCACTAACTCATTCTAAATACCATTTGTAAAAGGAGACAAAGCTCAAGATAGATGGAGAGACAGAGAAAGGGCAAGACAGACAGACAGTGAGAGGACAGTCACAGGCAGAAACGTCCTGAAGTGACACAGAGGGAGCTTAAACCCTCCTGGATGTAATTTGTAATCTGGTGTGCAGCCTTGACTCATTGCCACACTTGTTTTCAAAAATCACCTGCTGCTTCCCAAACCTGGGATCTGGCTGCATAGCCTATTATCACCACAAGATGGCGATGCTGTGCCAGGAGGACCAGAAACACAGGAAAATCTGTGTCTTAAAAGGCAATATGAGGGCTTGAGAATATGTCTTGAAAATAAGATCATGGAGGGAGAAGAGAGGGGGAAAGAGACATGTTGATTAGATTTGCAGCCTGTCTCTCAGAGTTCACGATTATGCTATTACCACGACAGCTGCTACCACCAGCGGCTGCCATGACTGAGGGGTTACCACGTACCAGGCTGTGATAAGCACTCTACATACATACACGGTTTCATTTCAAGTTCATCAAACCTTATGAGGGAAGTTCCACGATGTCTCCACTTCTGAGAGGAAGCATTATGTGGGACACCAGAGGCTGGGACCTCTTGTATTTTCTCAAAAGAAATGGGGACAGTGATCTAATTCTGGCCACATCAACAATAGTGAATGGGGTGACTTATATGCATAAAAGGCTGAGGGTTCCTTCTTTCACTGAGCAGATATTTGAGTGCCTACTCATGCCTGGCCCTGTTCAAGGTGCTAAGGAAAGAGAACTGAAGGAACTAGAGAAAAATCCCTGCTTCTAGTGCAAAGAGACCACAGTAAACCACCAGGTTCCAGGAGGGGTGCCATGGAGAAATTGAAGAACCCCAGGGCCAGAAAGTGCCTGCAGGGGCATTTTAGAGGATGTTGGTGGTGAGCTGGAGCTAGTCCCACCGACCCTCAGAACCAATTGTTTAATTTTCAAGAATTCTGTGAGCCCGGTCTTAAACACATCCATTATTAATGTTAAATTATATGAACTTACAATTGTTATATTTAAAAGTTATCATTAAATAAGTCATATTTAAAACTTATTCCTTCCTAATTATTTTACATTTTACAATTATCCAATGAGAAGCACACTTCTTCCGTAAAGGACCGGATAGTAAATATTTTAGGCTGTGCGGAGCATACAGTTTCTGTCATTAACTACTCAACTCTGCCCTTGTATCTTGAAAGCAGCCACAGATATGTAATATGAATGGGCGTGACTGTCTTTCAGTAAAACGTTATCTACAAAAACAGGCAAACAGGCGGTGGGCTGGGTTTGGTCCCCCAGCCGTAGCCAGCAGCCCCCGGTCTGTACTCAGCTATTCCCGTCTGTCGTATCTGGTTGGTGGATATGCTATATATTGATACTTGTGTGCTAATCCTAGCTACATCTCTTCCCGGTGCCACCTTCAGGGATGTCACACTGGCAGCTTGCAGTCAGCCGCTGTGAAAGTATTTACATCTCAAAATTGGCAAACGCTGCAGATCAGGGCTTTTTTTTCTCCCTGGAGAGCTGGCTGTTAAACATTTACCAGCACACCAGCGGCTAATGTGGTCTGAGAAGGCCTCTCTGGGGACGTGAACTCTGCACGGGAACCTGAAACTGCACTTAAGTCTTTCTGTCCTGCAGCTGCCCATCCCACCCACCAGAGGTAACATACAGAACATAGCTTGGAAACAGATCTGAACAAAACAGTCTAAAGTTCGCAGACATGGCCAGAAAGAGTAAAACACACACTTGTTTAAAACGTAGAGATTCCAGTATCATAACCCCACCACGACACACTCCACGGAGCAGCCTTGCTTGTCTGTATTCAGCCATGTAGGACGCACAGCTAAGAAGCCATGCATCATGCCCCAAGGCCTGGCCTCATTTATTCCACAGGCTGGTGAGACTCTGCCTGCTGTCAAATGGGATTCAATAGGTACAACCTCGGAGGTCACATTCAACGTCTCACAAAGTAGGGAGGGGTGGCAGAGAGGGACTCAGGAGGCCTCCCTGGGGAAGTCAATTTCAATCCAACTCTTCAAACCTGAGTTCAAACTGCTTCGGGAAAGGCAGTATTTGAAACAGACCTGGGTGTTATTGGTAAGGGGATGGTCTGATGTATAAAATTTAAGAGTTTTCATAAACTCCTAGCAAAGGGATTAGGTCAAAGCAGTGGATGCAACTTGCAAATTTCTGTGGCGCTTTTGTAATGGAGGTCACTGCTGGGTAAATTACTCTACCTTTATGATGTCCAGTGCAGTCTTCACTCACCTAATTACTTCAATGAGACCTCAAACTACTCCCTCTTCCAATAAAATTCAGCATTGCGCAACTGCCCTCCAAAAGTCGCAACTTGCACAAACCTGACTGTCCACAGTTCAGTGTAAAGGCTGCCCCCCAAAACACTGAGCCCCTTCCTAAGAGCTTTCCCACCTTCTTACCTAATCAGCCTGGTGGGTTTTCTTTTCTGTTTATGACATCTAAGTTTCTACACACCTTGGAATATTTCCTGAACAGGATAGCATCTTCATTATGCCCCTTGAAGGCTATCTTCATTCAAGCCCTCTTCAGAAGTAGTGACATTCACCCTGTTTCCAAATCCTTTCTCTGGCCTCTAGAATACATCCCACATAGATTTGCAAGGCTCTTTCTCAATAGTCCGGGCCATGAGCTTTACAACAGATTTTCTACTTCCCCTTTGGAGCCTGTCCAAGTCCATAGTCCTTTTTATCAGAGCAGAAGTTCCACCAGGGAACGACAGGTGGATTATGTTTCCCTCAGAAAACTCCATTCCCCCTGACAAGTGTCCCCCGATCCCGGCTGCATGTTGGACTAATGAAAGGAGCTGTGAAAAATGCCACGTGCCTGTGGCCCCGTTGTCACCGAGCAGGACCCTGTGGAACCTTCCTGGGACAGATGCCTCCCCTATATCCTCTGCTCTAGCTCCTGTCTGAAGCACCTCGATAATAGTATCTGATGCTCATTTCCTGAGTTTTTCAGATGCTAAAACCACCACCGAATGGAGGAAATTTACTACTTGGTGATCAGTAGCCCCCAGACCTTCTGGCACCTATGGATTGATGACGTTAACCCCTGTGACAACACCTTGTTACCTCACCATCAACCAATCAGAATTGTGCATGAGCTGATCACATACCCTGGGACCCTCCCCCCCGACCTGGCCTTTAAAAGTGCTTTGCCGAAACTCTTTGAGGAGTTGGGGGCTTTGGGGGCACGAGCCACCAGCTCTCCTTGCATGGCCCTGCAATAAACCTTTCTCTGCTCTGAACTCTGTTTCAGTTTGTTTGGCCTCACCGTGCATCAGGCACAGGAACTTGCGTTTCGTAGCACCATCTGCAGACTCCAGTGGGTTCGGATGGGCACAGGCATGAGTTATCTTAAAAGCCTCCATCCGTGAACTCAGTGCGCGGCCAGGATTGAGAACTGCTGCTGTAGGCAGCACAGCCCTTCTCAGGAAAGTGAGGGACAAGAGGCCTCAGCAAGTCAGGAAAGGAGCAGGGAGCCAGGACCCAGGAGAAGAGGCCTAGAGAGGCCATGGTCCTCTGCCAATCGGGTAGCCTGCCTCCAGCAAGGTCTGGCTTTGACTGTCCACATCCACAGGTGGACACAAGCGTATAAACTATCACTGTCTCACTGACACACCCACAAAGAGAAAGAATGGATCTATGAAAAATCATGAAAACCCTTGAGTCTGAACAAAGGAAAATCTGAGTGATGTTAAAATGGCAAAGTTTCATTATCACCGATGTGTCATTCAGCTATGCATTTCTGAAACAGGAAAGTTCTTGAAGGTTCTATATTCACACGAATATTGCCAACTCAGACCATTCTGGCTTTCTTACCTTGGCATAACAAGTGACTTAAAATCCAAGTAGTAATTCCTGTAGAAGGCTTGTTATATCAGTTACCTAAAAGAAGGTAAAAGTTTCGGTCCTTATAGCATCATGTAATCATGCCTCTGGATTATACAGAAAAGTAAACTGTTTAACTGCCTCCTCGGCAGCTGTGAGGGACCAGGACACACTATTCTATAGTGTGTCAACAGTTTTGTGCCCACGTTCAGAGATGAACAACTTCTGGCTGGATTAGAGACTGGTGGATCAGAGCTTGGAGGTACTAGGTTATTTCAAGAAACTACAAGGAGTCATGATGTCAGGAGGTGACCCAGAGGCCACTGGCATATCTCCCAGAACAGGAAAAGTCTGTAAGGTTTTCTAAAACAATTGTGATGATGGCAGAGACTTGAGGAAGACACAGGTGTGCCCGGTACAGCATTTTCCTAAAGCAGTCTTCTTTCCCGGCAGCACTGCAAAAACTTATGAAGTTGTACTCAATTCTAGTCTTCCCATAACCCAAAACCCTTCCCCAAAGAAATCAAGGAAAAGGAACCATACAAATTTAATTTTAATGATACAGAAATAGTATATAGTACATTTCTTTCCACAGCTGCACTTCAATCTCTAAAAAATTTAACAAAATTAAGGCTAAATCAGAGCAATCTGATAGTAAAGGGATATTTTATGTGGTTTTATTTTTAAAGAATGTCTTCATAAATATAGAATGTTCATCAGGCCAAAAAAAAAATATGTTGAACGAGATACCAAATATGGGAAATGCAATACAAAATGTGCTCCTTTATACCAATTTCCTAATAACCACGACTTCCCTGGGAGGTTCCAAATGGGATTTTTTTTTTTTAATGAATGTTTCTGACAGGATACTATGACTTTCTGAAGTACTATAGGCCATTTTAGAAAATAAAACCAAGGACAGTTGAGTCTCCAACACAATCTCTATTGAAAAAATGAAAAGCAAAAGTGGACAGGGTTTAAAAGTGCAGGAGAATTCCATCTGAGACTGCGATGCCCCCAAGGATGATCCCACCATACCTGGCCTTTCCCCCAACCTGTGTTATAGAAAGACTTTAAAATACAGTGAAAATACAGTGAAAATAACTGGCATCACTGACAAGACAGAGAGTCAGGAAAGCAAAGTGACCTGCTCCAAATACTGATGTTTATTGTGAACAGGAAGAAGGAATGTCCTTCTTTCCCCCTTTTTCATTATCCTTGGCCATATTTGCTGGTTAGCTTTTTACCACCACTTTCTGACTCAAGAAAGACCCTTCGGCTGTTCCAGGATTTAGAGTAAGATGAAGAGTCTTTTTTCCTCTCTTTCCCCTCCAATGAAGCTTCTGAAAGGAAACTAGACAATGCAGTGCTGACTCCCTGCAGGAAGCCTCGCTCTCTGCGGTCCCAGTCTCTGAGCAGCGACATAAGCCTGCGAGCAGAGAACCCACCTTCACAGGCTGGGTACCACACTTGGCGGCCTTCCCTCCTCCACCACCCCAACTCGCCTTGGGAAATTCCAGTATCGTTTTCACTGAAGGAGAATTGTGGGTGTGTTAACATCACTGACCCCTAGAAAAGGTAGTTTTATTCCTTCATTATAAGCCTTAGAGTCCCCCTGCTTTAACAAGGGCAGCTTGCGGCCAGAATCTTCTCGTACAGGGTTAACGTTTCCATTATAAAGTATCAGCTAGTTTGCTTACATTTTTTTCCTTTAACTTCGCATAAGAATTTTGTTTTTCCATTTCTTTGGTTCCCAGAGCCTCAATTTCCCCTAAAGAAATTAAATGGAATGCAAATAGCCAGGTAAATCGCACCCAATACCCTCTTTAAGTCTTAAGTGTGTTCCAAAGATGACTAAAACCTCTAGGAAACAGCGGGCTGAGGCATAGATCCTAAAATGCATTTCTTATATAAATTCACATGTAAACACAGAGAAACAATATGACAAACATACAATTACCCACGTGAATGTAGAGTAATTAACACAATAACGTTCTATGATCACACAATCACATAAGGAGAAGGTATTTGCGAGATCTTTCAGTTCAGTGCTTCTCAAATCTGGCTGATCATCAGGGTCACCTGGTTGGGCCTTTGACATTTCCTAGACCCCATCTGTGAGGAGTCAGATCCAGCATGCATAGCCAGGGACCCAGAAATTTCTTTTTTTCCTATAAAATTCAACAGTCCCACCCTCTTGCTATATAGAGGAGGACACTAAGGCCCAGAGAAGTCAAGACGTTGCCCAAGACTAACAGAGCAAGCGACAGAGAAAGGGCTAGCACCAGCTCTCTTGTGCCCTTGTCCACCACTTTTTCTGTCACACCTCACTGCGTCCCAGAGCTTTCCCCCGACCTGGTACCCTTACACTTAGGCTAAGCAGCCTTTAGTAGACATTCTGTTGTTAGAAGTAGGTGGTAAGCTGCCTGAGGGCAGGGACCATGTCTCATGTTCCTTCTGACACAATCCTAGGTTATAAGTGTCTAAGAAATACTTGTTGGCAGGCAGTCCCTCAGCTAAGGCCTCATTCTGTATTTTCCACTCACATCTCTGCCTGCGATCATCCACATAGATGCAAAATCATCTAGCTGGATATCGAGATCCACCTGAGGAGGGCAGTAACGCCTCTGAATTTATGAAGGTGCCATGTTCACACAACAGGAATTTGAATGACTCTGCAAGTTTCATAAGGATTACCATGTCTTCCCCTTGTTCCTGAATTATGTGAATTATGAAAAAATAATAATAATATTAAATGAATCCATGGGATAGAAAGAAGTTATTTACCTATGACATTTGGCAAATGTGAACTATAAAGATCCTCAACTAGTCCAGGGAGATAATCCTTAGCAACTGTAACAACTATATTTTATTGAGTTTTGTTACTGTTTCTCTTGGTTTGCAATGTGCATCCCTAGTCTTATAAAACATTCTTTTGTGGATGGAGTCAAACTCCTTCATAAAGCTGATAGCGAGGGACTGAACACATTACGGCATGGTTGCTCTCCCTCCCCACCCCACGTGTATAAACTCTCACGCACAAACACACACACACTTACACGTGTGTACTTAATGGAGGTGGGGGAACATGACTTGTTTTATAAATAAGATGATTCTACTATATTGCCATCTTGATTGTAGATATGATACGGAAGAAAGGATAACAAAAACATTTGAAAAGCCAACAGGAAAATATTAAAGAAAATTTAAGGCTGAAAAGTAAATAAATCAACAGGCACATGGGCCACTGGTGCCACACAGCCCAGCCCTGCCTGTGACCACCTGACACACGGGCCTCTGCTGGACCAGGAACAAGACAGGACTGCGGGGGGGCAGGGAGGACACCCAGGGCCGGAAAGGACCCCGCTTCCCCAGGAACCACCACAGCAGGCCCTGCCTCCCTTTACTGGGTACTCCCTCCCCAGCTAATGCTAAAAGAACTGTCAGCATTCTTCAGCTAATGCTTGAAGAGTCTGTCCTTAGAAATCATTTACGGATGAGGCCCCTCACACTTGAAAGCGCCTCCACCCGCTCGGGACACGGCACAGGCACCCTCACAAGTCCTCTTCAAGTCTTCCGCCGCGAGGGGCCGGGCACGACAGAGCTTCCTCAACTTGTACTTTGTTGTAATTTTTACAGGAAAGGCACTGTCTTCTCTTTTTTAACTGTTAAGTCCAGTCCTACCCAGATATAGAGTCCTAGTCACTCCTCCAGACAGCCTTTTCAAATCACATTGACAAGCTCCCTGGGGGGACAATTTCCTCCCCAGCACGCACTGATTACGCGGTGACTGGACTTCCGGAAGGTCAGGACTGGGTGGGTCCGCGCAGACATCCTGTGTCCCATGCTCCTCACCTGCCCCGGGGTGACAGGGTGGGGTCACCCCCGCCCCCCGATCTAGGAACCATCTCACCCCCCACCCAGGCACTGAGCAAAACTTCACGCACAAGTTGCGAACTTCTTCATTCCAAAACTGAAAAAATCACGAGATGAAAGAACTTTTTGTACCTTATTATGATTTATAAAGCTAATAAATATTAGGAAAATGGAATGACAGAACCAAAAAGTAAACGTGACTTGAAAAAGAAACAATTGCAGGGTTTGCAAGGATTCTTTCCCTTTTTTTGGACATTCAATGCTTTATGAAGTCATATGCTAGACACACGACAGCCTCTGCCTTTCCGCGCGGTTGGGAAGTCATTCCAGAGAGACGATGACGCCATACAACACGTCCCACGGCACTTACATTTACAGCCTATGCTTCTAGTCTACAACAGACACACACTACGGATATTAGCTACAAAAACATTCATCTTCTACTTATCTAATCAGGAGGAAGGCAAAGCTGCTGCTAACATTTCAATAAAATATCTGATTCGTAATGGTCACTATCTCAAGGAAAATCAGATGGAATTTAATGCGGGTACTGATCTAAGTTCTGGACAGTCTTATCTAAAATAGTAGAGGTTTAGATATCCAATACATCTCTTCAGGGAAATTTTAATGAGTGATTCTATATGCCAAATTAATTTTCTTATGAACCATATATATTTGTGTAGGAATATATTTATCACCCCAACGCTTTAATAAAACTTACTGTGCCCTGTTGCATACAATAGAGAGCCTTAAAAAAAAAGCTGTTAGCTGACAGTTACTACTATGAATGTAGAGCTTCAATTGCTGTATACGCTAATCCTCCAGGAAAACTACATCCAAAATGGACATTTTATGACAAAATCACTCATTTATATCAAAACCAGAACAAATAGAAAACACCACTAAGGGAATTTAAATACTTTTCTGACCACTATTGCAGAAACACAGAAACTCAGCAGATTTCAGACATGCAGGAATCAGCACTATACAGGGAAGAATTAACAAATCAAACTCAGTACAACTTTAATAACTGGATTGAAAGTAGACTCTTAATAAAACCAAAATATATCCTCCTCAAGGCAACCATCAGCTACAAAGGAAAAATGATTTCATATCCTTGGTCCATAAAGAAGACACATTTATTTACATTCTTAATGGACTAAAAGAGGTTTTAAACTGTCACAATTAAAATTTTATGCTTCCAAAAATATCTTATGATCAATGCACTTAACTTAAAGCTTCAGGTATTAATAACTTCATTTAGGCATCTTAAAAAACCAACACAAACATACTTTCTAGAGTGCAAAATGCTTCTTATTAAATACTTTAGTAACACAAAAGCAATTTGTTTTTAAACGCAGGAATCCTCTTCTGAAGGATCATCACCACAAAGACATCCATTGCCGGCAATGGACGTTGAACAAATCTGCCAGCTCGCGTGAAATGCAACATTAAAATTGTGCACTGGGTTTCTGCACCTGTCCAGATGACCCCGTTTATTTGTACAAACTCATTGTTGGACTCTGGTACATGCACATGTATGCATCACAAAGAAGTCTTCGTGCACAGCCTTGGATTCTTCTGGAGTCCAAGGAATGCAGATCTTCTAGAGACATTTTCAAGTACTCTCCTACTTCTGGGCATGGGGTAACCTGAGGAATGTTGAAGCCATTCTGACCACCTATGGAAAAGAGGAAGAGCTGTATTTAGGGCAGTCAAGTTCTAAACCCTTTTGCTGTCCTGCCCCACCAAAGTAATTTTACAATTCCATAATTTAGTTAAGGCTAATTCCCAGGACCTGAAAGACCTTATTTTACTTCTGATTTCTAGAAGTTAAATCCTCTTGTTAACTCCTGACAGTCTCATTTCTTGGTTTCTGAAAGGATTCCGGGACCAACAGTGAATACTATTGATAAAAGGACACATATCCTGAGCAAAGTCCAAAACCTACTTCCCAGGCTTCTCTGTGTATTCAATCAGGGAATAATGTTACATACACATACACACACACACTCAACTCTTCACATTCCCAAATCCCTTCCCAGATGCAAGCACCCCTCCCTGTATGCTTTACCATGAGCCTGTCCAGTTTAGGGCAGATCTAGTAAAATGAATACCATTTTATCCCGCTAAATTTAAAATATGTATTTGTGTGATTCTCGCAAGGTTTTGTTCTACATTTCGTTAGACTGAATGAAGATGCTATGAGGCGTGGTCTTAGGGATTCCAGGAAAGGCTTTAGCCTCCCAGTGGCTTTTCTAAAATTGCCTGGAACCCTTGTGCTTTTGAGTTACATGGCTAAATGCAAATTTTAACTGGGGTAAGGACCTGTTTACAGTTGGGGCTGTGCTATATCCCTCAACCGTCTGAGAGCTGAGAAAACGTTGAGAACCCTTGGGGTACAGCTTGGGCATCTGATCAAGAGGCTGCCACAAGGTGGCGTCCTAGGTCACCAGAGGGCCACACCAGAAGACTCGGGGTCTGGAGCGTGAGAGTGACTAAAGGAAAAATGGGGTATCAGAAAACTGGAGGTACGTGTAAGTCATACTTCACAACCTGGCCTAGGACCAGTCCTAATCTGTAAACTCTATACAGGCAGGGGTACAGCTGTTTTGACAACTGTTTCGTTTTTGAAACCTACTAGAGCCCCAGGCACTTCACACGCACTCATTAGGTATTTGTTAAATAATGACTAAACATCCTAGAAAGCAGCCTAGAAGGTGCAGTATATTCCCCACTTAAGGAAGACACATTACACACAGAATAAGCTTATTTTTCCAAAGGAGACATTTACTTCTATTCTTAGCTTTGTCATCTAGAAGACAACAGAAAAAACATAAGCACTGAGGTCAGAAAGACTGAATTAAATACAAGCTCTGAGACCTTAGGCACCTTAAATCTCAGCTTTAGTAAGAGAAAAATAGGAATCATTCCTATCTTGCAAGGATTTAGGTATAATGACGTAAGGTACCTCCCTGACAGCTTGGCACGTAGGTATTTAGGAAATGGTGACTATGGTACAGAAAATAAGAGAAGCCTGAAAGTCAAAGACGACAAAGCTGAAAATAAAACCTTTCAGCCCTAAAGAAAGAAATTTCCGGTTCATGTTTTTTTCTTTTTTTTTAAAAGACTCTATGCATGTCAAAATATCACAACAATATTATCCCTTCGTTTAGTAGCAGGGCTGTTAATGCATTTCAAGATTTCGGACTACGTCACCAAGATATTCCTGAACGGCTTTTCCCAACACTATTTTATTACTCAGACCAGGCTAGCCCACTATGGTTATCCCACTACAAACTCAAATGTCGCCACATGTAGAAAAGGTCTGGAAAGTACCATCCCGATCAGCCATGCTGTCAAAGAAGAGCCAGGCAGAGTCGTCTTTCCCGTACTTCACAAAAGCGACATAGTGGCTTGTTTCTATGCAGAGGACAGCAAATAACTCCATCTTCTGACGGGGGATGCAGCCGTGTCTCCAATCCCAGTCAGGTAAATCTTTGGGAAGTGACACTGGGTTATATTTATGATTCAGCCTCTTGGGATGAAGGTGGACCTGAAAGGGAACATGAAGAGAATGCCATTAAGAAGCCAAACTCAATGTTTGACGGGAATGAATGTCACTTACTCTAATTGAATACATCCTCACAAAGAGAAATAAGTACTTGACAGAAGTCCATCAAATCAGCAGAGGAGGCATAAACAATACCATTTAATTATGGAATTTTTAAAGTTAATTATGATTCTGAAAACTTTTCAAAACCTGAAATCTGTTTAAACTACAAATGATTCACTGTTTATTAAGAGAATATCCATTAAATGAAGTCAAACTTACTTGAGTGTTGCAGGTTTTACAAAACTGCTTGATTTTTCCAGCTGAGATGTCAGGGTCATCGTAGCATTCTCTACACTCATACATTGCGAGCCCTCCACATATCCGGCACTGCCTAGGGGCTGAAAACGTTGGGGGTGGTGGGGAGTTAAGGGGTCTTTAAAAATGCATTCTTTCATTAAAAAGATTAAAAAGAAAAGTTAAGCTTTAAAAAGGATAATGCTCATGGACTCAGTGAAGTCCACCCCTCCCCATCCCCATCAACTTACTGGATTTTCTTGGATTCAGCATATCTTTAAAAACATTTTCTCTGACCAAATGACAATTTTTTAAAAATAATATATTCTAGAGTGTTTCCCCCATAATAAAATTTCTATTGATGAATATGCAAAGATACAAGAGAGTATAAATAAGAAAACCGAAAGCATCTACAATTTCAGTTAGCAAGAGACAACCACTGTCAATACAACTGTGAATTTTCTCAGATTTTATATCTGCACACTCATATAACTCGGCGCACGTGTGTGTGTGTGTGTGTGTGTGTGTGTGTGTAGCTCCTCTTATAGAAAATATCAGCATACTCTCCTTTTCACTTATCATTACATCTCATGTTAACATTGGTCTTCAAAAACATGAATTTTAATGGCAGTAGTTTTGTTGTAGAGATACACCATAATTCACTTAACTACTCTCATTAACATATAGAGTGCTTCTAATTTCTTACTCATAAACAATTTACATATGAAATATTGATTTACATGTCTGATTATTTTTTCAGAATAAATTTTTTTTTTTTTTTTTTTTTGGGTGCGGGGGCCTCTCACTGTTGTGGCCTCTCCCGTTGCGGAGCACAGGCTCCGAACGTGCAGGCTCAGCGGCCATGGCTCACGGGCCCAGCCGCTCCGCGGCATGTGGGATCTTCCCGGACCGGGGCACGAACCCGTGTCCCCTGCATCGGCAGGCGGACTCTCAGCCACTGCGCCACCAGGGAAGCCCCCAGAATAAATTTTAGTGTAGTATTTCCAGGCTCTTCAGATACCAAACTGTCCTTTAGGAAACTCGTATCCTGTTAGACTCACATTCACAATTAACGTGAATGACCTGACAGACTATTTCTGAAAAACAAACAAAAAAATCTTATACTTACTGTCTTCAAGTAAATCTGTTATATTTAATTCCAGAGAAGGAAAAATTTTTTTAAATAGTTTAAAGTCTTTTCCAAATCGAGGCATCTGAATAATCAGACATGATGGTGCCTAAAAAAAAAAAAAAAAAAGATACATAATTTTAGAATCAAAACGCTGAAAAAAAATTTCCCTGAAATAGTTGATTGTCAAACCAAGCAGTGGTTCCACCATAACATGGATGGCTACTCCGTGTTCACAAATGGGATCCACATGTGAAATGGACTGTGAAGGCAGAGCACCACGGAGCCACAAGCCTCAAGTAGTCCAAGATCTATGGACACGTGGACACGGAAGTCAGGCAGTTCAACAACCTTGGGTCTCAAATAATATGATGACCATGCAGAGTCATCTACTTTGGGTTTATATTTTGAAAAGGCTTTGGAAAAACCTGAAGGACACTATTCCTTATATTTCAACAAATAAATAATGGTAGCCGTTAAGGTTTTACCAGAACATCCCTTCAGAGATGGATACAATGAAAATGAACCACAAGCATGTACTACTAAGATCATGAAGATACTCAGTAAACAGTAAAAGAAAAGTAATTTAAATCACTTGTTCATTTACAGTAAGTGAATTTTGTTTTTTATTGAAGGAGGAAAAGTAAACATTTTTTTGGATATATTTGGATAATATGCTTGGGTAAAACTTTTAAATGGGTAAAATGTTAAGCTGGGTGAAAGGACAACAACAACGAAAAAACACAAATCTTCTTTGCTTTAAGCTACTTAAAAGTTTTCAAGTTACAAATTAGAATGATATTTTCTATGGCACCAAAAATCTAAAAAGTTCAATCAATTCTAAGGTATTTTCTACATGGACAAAGTTGAAGCATGGCATATTTTTTAAAAATTTGTGTTTTGTTAACAATTTGTGCTCCTAACTCTTCTCAGTGGGTTAAAAGTAATAGTTATAGAAGCTATAGTTGTCTGGAGAACCCTAATGACTTGCATAAAAAATACAATAAGTAATTATCACTAACCTCAGCAAATTTCAGGTTGCTGTTGATAAAAGACCATTCTAATAATTGCTGAATTGTAGGAACTCCAACTTTCTCATTTTTTTCCATAAAAATCTGATAGAAGTAACAATCTTGAACTTTCTGGCCTGCTGATCTAAAAATATGCAGAAAAAAGCCAGATAATTTATTTATGAAATGCATCAAAAAGTGAAGTGGTTCCAGAGGCATTTGAGAACAGAAAAACTGTTGAGAACAGAAACCGATGGTGCAACTCTGACCATAAAACCAATGGTGCAACTCTGACACTCAGAACAACAGGGGCAGAGACAATCATTTAGATAAAATAATTAAATGTACTTATGCATAAGACCTTGCAAATGATTTCTTGTTTAAGTTCTCATATTGAAAAGCTGCCTTACTGATTAGAAGAAAAATAATGCAATAACATCCACAGTCAAGAAGCACTGTGTGAACAATAAAAACCAGAAGCTAACATCACTTGGTTCAACTTAACCACCGAAGCTAGAAAGGAGCAAACTGCATTTCATGCTTGAAACAGGAAAGTTAATCTGTACATGCCTGAATGGGACAGACCCTAAGAGACCTTCCAGATGCAACTTTTCATTTCTAAAATAAAGGCCCTGAGATCTGGGGAAGGATAATCCTTCCCAGTAACTCAAAATCAGAGCCAGGTATAAAACCCAGGTGTCCTAATAACTGCTTACTATTCTTTGCACTAAAGCATGCTGTCTCTTTAGACGGTCACTCACTTATTCAACAAACACCAAGTTAGGGCCCACTATATGCCAATCACAGTGTTACCCTTATATTGAACATTTTCCCTTCTAAATATTTTACTTCAGAATGCATGAAAATTCAAGACTAACTCTACTAAAAGAATCAATAATCTTTCAATTTACTATTTACCCTTTTTAGCAGAATTTCTGCATATAGAATCAGACTGTTTACAATTAGATTTATAAGTACAGTTCAAGATTTTGAGGGAAAAATATTAACATAGTTTTCACAATAAAATCTCAGCTATTGAGAGGCCCACCTCAGAAACCCTCAGTTTCCCAAAGCAACTTATAGCCTGAAATAAACACAACTTATTTGGTAACAAAGCAAAGACTCTTGAGAAGCTACAACAAAAAAAGAAAAAAATGATAACCAAAAAACCTGAAGGTTATGCTGTACCAATATTTTAATTGGTTACTGATGACAATAAAAGGCCAGCATTTTTCTGGCCAAAAAGCAAAAAAGCATTACCAAAAAAAGCCATTAAAAAAAGCCAAAAAGCATTAAAAAAAAATTAATAGGTAAGGGAAAAAATAAGACTGGAAACTAAGAAAGCAGAAAGTAGTAGAGGTCAGTAGTTGCAAAAATTCGAAATAATACTAGTGATGGGGGAGGGGGATGGTGGTTGGAGGGAGCATGGAGTGGCAAACACGAGAGATGGGAACCAGAAATGAGGATGTAATACCAAAAGCTTTGGGATACTGGGACAGAAAAACTGGAGGCGGTGAGGGGGGCAGCAACCACTCAAACCTCATACTAAAGTTTTAGAAGGCTAATATCCTAGGGTAATTAGCTGGGCATTAAGACACACATATAAAAGAATCACAACAAAACTGGTGCTGTTGTACAAACCCATGAAATTTACATTGCTGTTTATCACCAAAAACATCTAAGAGCAGAAGGGTACAAATGTTGTGTTAACCTTAAAAGAAAACAGACGTCTACAGAGAAGATGAAAGTATCCATGGGTTTGCATAATATTGGTCTATCTACCTTTGTAACACAGACCATAATGGGTAGTCAACTAAAACTTTTTACAGATTCTGGATTATCTAGTACTATGGAATACAGCATATCCATGTAATAAGAATCGCCAGTTCTATTGTTCTATAATGAGAGGTACTCAGTAATACAACCTGAATATTCCCTTGTATCTGCTTCCTGATGCTGATCTTGTTCCGTTATTTTTCTTGTAATGCTTTACCTCCATCCATTAGCCTCTCGCATTAGTGGCTATGACTTTAGCTTCACCTTAGCACCCCATACACAGTCATTATTATTACTACTACCATCGTTGTTATTGTTTTTAAGTATGAAGGCTTGACTTACCCACATTTACCAATTTCTTGCTTGGCTTTCTTGTTTCTTGCATACCACTCCTTTATTCTAAATTCAGTTTTATGTTATTAAAGTACACCCTGTCATAAGTCTCTGACTGGTAATTTAGTCTTGGTTCTTCCAGCTCAGGAATTTTGTGCATCTTTATTCTTAGAAATTAAGTCTGTCAAAAATTCCAAAAAATCTTCAGCTATTATCTCTTGAAATATTGCTTCTTCCCTATTCTCTCTAGTGTCTCCTCCTACAATGACAATTAGAATTTGTCTTCCATGTCTCTTATCTCCTCTTTCTTGTTTTCTAACTCTTTATCGCTTTGGGCTACATTCTGGGTAATTTCTTCAGATCTATCTTTCAAGTAAGCAATTCTCTCTTTAGCTGTGCATACTGCATTCAGTGAGGTGCCCTCTCCCAGCCATATATACATATATGGCTATATATATATAACTACATATATAGTTTTTTATTCTATTTTGGGGAGTTTTATTTTTGTTTATTTTTCTTTGTTATCAAATCTGCATTTATCCTCCATAGGTATCTAAGTTCTTCTTTTTTCTCTTAAGCTATTTAAGAATATTCATATTAAGAATATCATTTTAGAATAGTCTCTTTTAGACTACTTTACTATTTCAAGGTTTTAAGGTACTCATCCTCCTATTTGTTGCACCAGCTGACGCTCCCTCAGTCAGGAAGACAGGCTCATGGAGGGGAAGAATGACACTTGGGAAAAAACTGCTAACTTTTAAAGTATTTTTTTTTTAATCTTTTTATAATCTTCAAACTAGTGATTCTCAATATGAAGAGGCTGCTGAATGGGGAGGAGAGGCAGAGCTTCCCAGGGCCCTCTTCAAACTCCACAAGACCTTCAGACACTGAGACATATTCCTATATGTGACTGACCCTTCTTCACCCACTCTGAGAATCACTGCAGTATTCATCCTATGTAACACACCAGGAGCGTATTACAACCCAAGGTGTGTTGGGCTATGCAAAAGAAGAATGAAAACTATTTTAATCATCTGAAATTTATCTCTTCAAGATGAAAAACAGAAGTGATTTTTTTCCTCCCAAATTGCCTGGCAGATTTCCTACATCATGTTTTCAATATATATTTCCTTCCTCCTTTGTGCTTGAAGGTCGACTTATAAAATACTGAAATACCACATATAGTTAATTCTATATCTGGGCTTTCTATTCAATTCTATCTATCCAATTTGTAATTGTATGCCAGTATCACACGGTTTTAAATGTCTGTTGTTTTGTCTTTATAGCTTATAATAGAGTTCTTAAGAAAAAAAAACTGCAATGTTTTCACCCATTTCATCTTGCAGAGAATTCTAAAATCATTTTACTAAGTTCCAAAGGAGAAAAAAAACGTTAAGATCTTGATTATGTACAAGTTATTTTGTAAACATTAACATCCTTAAGTTATTTAATCTTCCTACCTGGAACACAATCTTTCTCACTAATTAGTTAAATCACCTTTTAGCTCTGTGCAAGTCTTCTTTAAAAACCTATCTCAGTAAAATTGATTTCTTAGCATTTTATACTTTCATGAAGTATGAAATTATCTCTTTTTCATATTTGCTAGTGGGGATACCAGAATATGACTGATTTCTCCATGGTTTTTTCCTGCATGGTCAAATTACAAATTCTTGCATTAATACTAGTAGTTTCTAAACAATTCTCTAGGATTTTCTGGGTATACATATAGCTATGACCTTATTTGAATAGATAATAAATATATCCTATCTTATTTCATTAGCTAGAACTTCCAAAATAATATCAAACTATAACTTCAGTACTGTCCACCCTTCCCTCCATCCTTCTTACTCATCAATTTGACACTGGCATCAAAGAACATCACTTAAGACACTGAGATGAGTAAGAATACTTGTCCGTGATTAGGTTTTAGGGAAGTAAATAGTATATAAGCAAGATTTTTCAACAAAGAAACCCAGACTAAAATGTAAAAAGGCCCAGCATTCAATCTGGAAAGTTCATCAATTTAGAACATCTCACTAAGAACTTCACTGTATTAGATTCAAGGCTTTCATTGAAGATGGGGGGAAAAAAGACCAAGTTATAAAACTGAGAACAAGAGAGCTAATTTAGGGCTAAATTAATTCTTTGACTAATGGGTAGTCAAAAACAGTGCTCCCACGGTGTTTGATTGAGTTTGAATAATATTCTCTTAAAAGGATTCATTAATTTAAATTACAAAAATATTTACAGGGCTTCCCTGGTGGCGCAGTGGTTGAGAGTCCGCCTGCCGATGCAGGGGACACGGGTTCGTGCCCCGGTACGGGAAGATCCCACATGCGGTGGAGCGGCTGGGCCCGTGAGCCATGGCCACTGGGCCTGAGTGTCCAGAGCCTGCGCTCCGCAACGGGAGAGGCCACAACAGTGAGAGGCCCGCATACCGCGAAAAAAAAAAAAATATATATATATATTTATATACAGTTTTATAAGAAAACGATTTGCAATAGTGCTTATTACTGGGGTTAAAATTAAAAGCACAAATTTACACTGGATTTGTTCCTCAAGTTAAGTATGATACTATGGCAAAGATAATGATTTAAATTAATTTGCATTGCAGGAACCTAACATATTGAGATCCCTAAATAAATACAATATTAAGTAATCATTAAGGAAATCATTTCTACTGAATGATGGCAGTGGAAATGAGGACTGTCTATTTTTTCCAATGCTTCTGTAACAGTTTAAAATTACCTTATCTTTAACAATGGTTCTACCCTTAAAATATGATGAAACAGAATATTCAAGAATTCTTCAGGATCTAGGAGAAAATAAAAAATCAAATAAGTCACAGACAGGATTTTTAAATCATTCTATCTTTTCTTTATAACAGTCATATTCCTATACAGAATTCAATTTCATAATCAATATTATTTCCATTAAAAGCATAGTTCTCAAGTTTTCCTAACAAACTACAAAGGATATTTAAATGATATGATAAAGTATTACGTGACAATTTTGTTACAACTTTATTATATTTCAAAGGGTATAATAATTCACATATAGGGAAATAATTTTAATTTCTTTGAGAGGGGCTTAAGATAAGTGTAATAAAACCTGATGTATGATCTTATCTTTCCTGTTATTTAAATAATTATCAAGTCTGTAACTATTATAGCTAGTATGCTGTTAATACAGTCAAAGTCAGGAGTTGAATCTCTGAGTAAATTCATTAGCTATGAATAGATTAAAACACTGTCTCTGACCATAAACTTAATCCTAATCAGCCATTTGTAACTCCCTTTATAACAAGGAAAGCTAAGTGAGAAATGTGGATGACTCAGTGCAGCACTTCACCCCTGAAAAGAAAACAACTCCAAATATCATCGCTGGACGGAAAGCTCTCCTTATTTATTCATAATATACTACAACCAGCCAGCTTCTTAAAGGGGTTCATTATTCCACATATCACTCACTTTTAGAAGAGAGAAAGCATTTACAAAAAGAAAATTGTACATCACATAGAAAAAAATTGTATTTTAAAATATAATCCCCCAAACTACACAGATATAACATTTCAGCCAACTATTTAGCATTTATGCTTTCAAGTTATTTTTAATGCCTATCCTATAAATTAAAACAGTCACCTTGGGCTTCCCTGGTGGCGCAGTGGTTGAGAATCTGCCTGCTAATGCAGGGGACACGGGTTCGAGCCCTGGTCTGGGAGGATCCCACATGCCGTGGAGCAACTAGGCCCGTTAGCCACAACTACTGAGCCTGCGCGTCTGGAGCCTGTGCTCCGCAACAAGAGAGGCCGCGATAGTGAGAGGCCCGCGCACCGCGATGAAGAGTGGCCCCCGCTTGCCACGACTAGAGAAAGCCCTCGCACAGAAACGAAGACCCAACACAGCAAAAATAAATAAATTAATTAATAAACTCCTACCCCCAACATCTTCTTTAAAAAAAAAAAAAAGTCACCTTTTTCTTCAGAGGTAAATCCTGATGCAGCCTCAACTTTTTCAAGTATTTTCCTCAGTTTCATAATCTTTGTTGCACATACGTATCCATATCTATGTTAGTAAAAAACTATTAATATTAGCAAATATATTAAATTAATATAACACATTTTTTATTGAAGGACGGTTGGCTTACAATGAACATAACACATTTTGATAACCAAATATTTCTTATGTAACTCCAGTGTGTCATAAATTAGTAAGCTTAATAAGTATTTCAGAAAATACAATTATAAGCTTCTTCTTGAGGTTTGAAAATTTTTAAATCTATAATCAGAATTATCTCAGACACTATGATAACCTAAAAATAACTATCATATACTAATAAAAGAAAAAAATATTTTTCATTTATGATGACTTTTTTAATACTTAAGGAATTAAAACATGTACTTTACAAAACAGGATATACAATTTTGAGAGAGAATCCTTTTAATGTTGTACTAAAGGATGAAATAGCTACCAAGGGGGATGGAAAAGGGCAGTGATAAGAAACTGAAATTCTAAAATCTGCAATCAAACCAGTCATCATAACTAGGACACTTTCTCTTATCTTTCTCTGAATACAGGATACATTCAATAAGCTTCCTGTCAATCCTTGACAAAATTCTAATTCTAAAAATGGCTTCAGAAGACAGCTTAGAGGCCACCATGGGCTTCATAAGAGCAAGTCAGAACCACCTAATCTTATATCCATTTTTCATATCGGCTATCCACTCACTCATTAGCTCTTTGCAGCCAACATATATTGAGCATCTACCACTTACATAGTAATCTAACCTTTCAGTCACTGGGAATACAAAAATGAATAAGGTGAAAAAACAGGGTCTCTGCCTGCGAGAAGCTTGAAATGGAGAAAGCACGCGTTTCAGTACCAAGTAAAACCAGTCAGCTATAATCTAGATATGACTGCTGCAGACACAGGGAATCTTGATCAAAACAGGGCATCTGACAAGCTTCTTGCTGTGGACAGGGTGACAAAGTCTGACGAACCATGATTCTTGACTGGTTGGACAACAGTATTCAAAGAACGTTTATTAACGGACTTATGGTGTTTTGGAAGGAAAGAAGGAAGTGGTAACATGCCTTAGAGTTTTGGATTTAATCTGTCTTGTTCTAGTATCAATCACTTGGGGGGAAAACAGACAGTATGTTTAAATTTTGCATTTGTACAAATACAATACAAAATAACTGATGTAAAACTCAAGATTCATAATTATCTTAAGGGGGTAAAAACTACAGTTATTTTCATCATTACAGAATTCAAAGAAAACAAAAGATACAAGTGGGAAATTTATTCACCTATAATATACTTTCCTAGTCATGTTATATAGTAGGTCATTCCAAATGCTCATTATATTTCAGTGTTCTGCATTTTGGGGTCAAAATCTTATATCAAACTATTTTTTATTTTAACTGTTAAATAATAAAAGTATTCCACAAAATTTAAATTTACCTTAATATGGACTTTAAATTACATAGTTTGCTCCCTATATTCCTAAAAGAACAGATTTGTTTTATGATCTATGGCCCTGACTCTTCATAGTTTAAATTTTACACTGTGACATTATCACACAATCCTCCTACCACTTAACAAAAGTCCTTACTAGATGTCTTGTACTTATACCATTACAAATTGCTTCCTGTGGCCAAAGAAAGACATACTTATAATTCTTAAACTAGGAGATAACCAAAAACATCACCTTTTTAAGAGAAGTGGAGGGAGGCCTAAATATCTTCCTTTAACCAAGAAATGTGTTAATAAAATACATCTTATTTATTTCTAACTATTTCTAACTATTAAATACTTGCTACTCTATAAATAAAAATTTCCCTTGCTGCAATTCATTCAGATAAAATTAAGTTTAAGAAGCCAGATCATACCGATTAAACTAATAAGCATGATTACATTAGGGGTAGTATTGAAGATAAGAATCCCAAATACCTTATGTCAGCTTTTATAAACCTACTGTAATTGCTGAATTGTAGTACACTCTACCAAAATGGTTTAATCACTTCATGGCATACACTATGTGCTACACTTTGGCCAGATTTAAAATGTTAAAGAAGTAAAGACAGTACAACGGGACTTCCCTGGTGGTGCAGTGGTTAAGAATCCTCCTGCCAATGCAGGGGACACAGGTTCGATCTTCCCATCCGGGAAGATCCCACATGCCACGGAGCAACTAAGCCCGTGCGCCACAACTACTGAGCCTGTGGCTCTAGAGCCGGCGAGCCATAACTACTGAGCCCGCGCACTGAAACCACAGAAGCCCATGTGCCCTAGAGCCCGCGCGCTGCAACTGCTGAGCCCACACCCCGCAACTACTGAAGCCCGTGCACCTACAGCCTGTGCTCCGCAACAAGAGAAGCCACCGCAATGAGAAGCCCGTGCACCGCAACAAAGAGTAGTCCCTGCTCACCACAGCTAGAGAAAGCCCGTGTGCAGCAATGAAGACCCAACGCAGCCAAAAAATAATTAAATAAATAAATAAAATAAAAAATAAAAAATAAATAAATAAAAGTAGCAACAAAGACTGAACAGAAATCTTCTTAAAAAAAAAAAAAAAAAGACAATACAAGGACCGAAAGTTAAAAAAGATGTTAATACATCATCGAGCGAACTAATTCTCTCCCATTTCTCATTAAAGGAAAGCAGGGAATAAATTACTGTACCAAAAAACAGCACCTAGGATACCACCTAAAGGCAAAAATAACTATCTTCTACTTACATTCTCAGAGGATTAACGATTTCTGTCCTCAGCAGTTCTTGAGTTTCACTATAATATTCTACATCATTCTTTTCTTTGGGTCTAAGTAACACAGTGTCCAGAACAGAACTAAAAGCAAACAAGCTGCAAAATAAAAAGAATATTTTTCCTCATGCTGTAAATGTACTAATTTTTGAGAAACCCATACTAAAAAGAATATGAAGAGAAAAATCACAAACTCTGGAGAACAAATAACATACAAATTAGTGTTTTTTATTAATACAGGTAACCAAGACCCCTGTCAAGGTTCCCATGGTTCAATCATCAGGGCCTAGAGATCCTTAAAGAGAATACTAATATCAGGAAGGCAAACTATAGATTGACAGTGTTAAAGGATTAAAAATACGCCTTCAATACACTGGAAAACTTCTTTGCAAAAGCTGAAAGAAGGCCTACAAATCTGAGTCAAACTACAACAGAGGAGAAAGTTTGGAAACTAATTTCCCAAGGCAAACACATAGCCAATATGTAACCCACTCTAGATATTATACTTCTCTCTCTCCACAGCCCTTTGCAGAAATCTGAATTCCTTTAAATGTCAAAATCACTTGTGACTAACAGCAGTGACTTGCTGATATCAAAGAAAAAGAAAATTTGGCTAAACAGATTTTTATCAGAAAATCTGAAGAATATTACATCAATTCTTGCTTTTGTCAACACCTCTGAGAGACAAAGTATTCTGCCCCAAAAATGGCCCACCACTTTTATTCTTCTCCCTTGTCTTTAAAATTTTAACATCCCATTAACTTCCTAATTCTTACAACGTGGCTGTACAGAGCTGGCAGGTTATGCTCAGTTTAACTGGCGATGTTCTTGGTTCAAGTTTCAGAGTGTAAAAATTCTTGCCATGTTAAATTGTTCTACTTTGGAACAAACTACATATACGAGGGCAACTGTGCTTCTACTGAAAATACTTCTTTAAAATAAAGTAGTTTTATGATTGCCTCTGCCTAGTAAAACAAACACACAAGCCAGTCAATGGCTTATGACAAGTTATTTGATTTGTGCACAAAGATCCTGTACTTATTCTCTTCAGTCCTATGATTTCCCACATACCCTCAGAATATCTGTACCACCTGTAACACTATCATTCACTGCATTATTTTTTATATTAATTTTTTGGATACAGACACATAAGGCAACATTCAGTAGCTTCCAAGGAGTATATAGTGAAATACAAATCTCCCTTTCTCTCCTGAACCCCAGCCCCCAGTTTCTCCACTCAGAGGCAATTAGCAGTTTCTTTCTCTCTCTCTTTCTCTCTCTCTCCGACACACACACAAAGAAACACACACACCTGCCCCCATGGCACTATATTCCTACTGCATTAATTTTAAACTTACCAGAATAAGGTTGAGTCTAAGTAACAAGAATTGTAATGACCCTGGATACCTTTCTTCTTTCCAATCATTATCTCTAAACCTTCTTTTTCCATTTTTGGTGGAGTATTTTCTTCTACTACTTCACTTAAGTAGCCTCCAAATGCTGCAAAGATAAAGATAAAAATGAAAATAATTCTTTTAAACTATTATAGCTACGTATTCCCATACATATTTCTTCACTTAAAAATATCTTTTGGGGGCTTCCCTGGTGGCGCAGTGGTTGGGAGTCTGCCTGCCGATGCAGGGGATGCGGGTTCGTGCCCCGGTCAGGGAGGATCCCACATGCCGCGGAGTGGCTGGGCCCGTGAGCCATGGCCGCTGAGCCTGCACGTCCGGAGCCTGTGCTCCGCAACGGGAGAGGCCACAACAGTGAGAGGCCCCCGTACCGCAAAAAAAAAAAAAAAAAAAATCTTTTTGTATTTTGATGCACAATTTATTACCCAACTCAAAACTAAGTTAAAGGTAGGTTTTGGTTAATTGTTATTCAGCTTGGCTTATAAAAAAATGTTAATGTTCGTTTTCAACCTTACTTCCTCCACAATTTAAAAAACATTTTACAGTATTAAGTAACGTAAAAAAGCATCTGCCAAGTAAAATATTTTGTTCCCCAGATATCTTATTTGTCTGAAGATGTTCCATTTTCAAGTTGGAAAAGAAAACAAAAAATTCCAAAGCACTACTTCAACTGTAAGAAAAATTGTTTTTCATAAAGATGGTTTTCCTATTTATACCTGTTTAACTCTCAAGACGTTTCACCACGATTATCCAAAACTGGAAAGGAACAGTATCAGGAAACTGCCACCTACTATAAGTGATGAGATCTGTCGTTCATCAGGCAATTAAAACTACTTCTTATAATAATGCTGACTTCTTGATAAGACATGCTTATTGATGTACTTGAACAATACAGAGAGGAAAATTAGTGCCATAACGAAGGCCACATTTCAATCTCTACTTCCTGGGTTGTTGAAAATTAAATGTCTGTAATCAACAGGAAGGGGAAAATAAATCCCACTATTTCTCAATTTTTAAATCTCAAGCATGGTTTCCTGGCTAATACTTTTTCTAAATGTCCCCTCTTAGGATAACTAACTTTCTCATACACCAAGTAATAATTTTTTTCTGATTTAAAAGCTTGATGAACACTGGCAGGAAAGAAAGAAACACTGTTTACTACCAACTACTGCAAAATGACACGAGGTCAGAACTAGAGTCATTCCAGATTGATGAATAAATGAAAGGCACACAAATACCTAAAGAGTTACAGCGTTCGATCTGATTGGAAACTGGCTGCAGGGACGCAAACCTAGAGTCTGGCCGGCAGCTCTTCAGTTTAACAAACAGCGCCTTCTTCAGGGCACAGGTGAAATACCGAGTACCCCTAAAGGTTCCATCTGTACAGCCTGCACACTCGTCTTCCTGAAAAAGAAAGAAAAAAAAAAAAAGCTTAAACATGCATTATTCTCCATCTTGCAAAGATGGTATACAAAGAACTAAGACTTGTTTCAAGTTTACCCTTTCTTAGAATTCTGCTGTCACACCTGTACTGAGAACTCCATCAGGAAAAAGGGACTGACTAATCAGTGTTTCAGCCCACAGCTTACGATCTGAGAAATTAATGCCTTATTCCAGCATAAAATCCTCAATGTATTTCCCTTCAGAATACATGTTAAACCTTCCCTGGTTAACTGACTTCCCTGCATCATTTCCAAAAGCATTAAAACTAGCGGGGACAGGAGGCCAGAAGGGGCTGTTTATTTTAACAACCCAATGAGAAAAATAGCATTCACTGGCCTGTAAACCAACAAATAAAAAAGCAAGAAATATATTTAAATAAAAGCTAAATGTACTCAAATTCTCTTTCTGATTATGAAATGTCAAACAATTATGCTTTCTAATCTCCAAAATCTTTCCCTCTACCAAAGATCTCAAAAGGTCACTAAAAATGGTGATTAATCTTAAAGTCAATGATAGAAATATTAGAACTGATTGCAGGAGGGAGGCTAAGAAAAAAAAAAAGAAAAACTGATAACAGTTTGCTTTCCTTACTGCATTCTGTTTAATATAATGAGCCTAAACATATTAGCCTAAAAATCTACTTTCATTCCTTGAACACAGATCAACTAACATTAAGAATAAGTGGATCAGATGCTTAATGGGTGGCAAAGGATGTCAGGCAGCGTGGTAATAAAATTTTTCTCTAGTGATGGCTTTGTGGATAAATAAAATATTTCACCAAAAAGCAAAGAATACGGAAAGATCTGTACAAAACCCCAGACAGAAAAGAAATGCAATTTTTAGGTGAAATTAAATTACCAGTTCCAGTCCAGCGAGTACTTCATTGAGTCCTGGCGGCTGACCAATCCAACGGATTACCCCATAGAAAGGAGGATTCTCTTTAACCTCGGCCAGCGAGCCCACTTCCAGGCCATGTGAGTTACCAGAAGATACGGCCAAGGGTGGACTCTCCTGCACAGGTGCATTGTTTAGCTCTCCCATCACAGACTGAACTGACAGAGAGAGCGGACTGTGGCTAATATTTCCATTGGTGTTGGGCATCTTTGTCAGACTAAATGGTAAAGAATGAAATCTGTTCTCGCTGGATAGTGAGTTCATGGAAGGAGGTTGCAGTGGTGGTGAAGCGTGTCCAAAGTCTGGAGAGATCTCCGTAAGCGATTTTGCAGGGTCTTCAGCAACTATAAGAAATTATTCTTAATTAGAAAAATTTATTCAAGAATATTAAATATGCCATACATCTCTAAAGATTAATATATACGTAAGTCCAACTGCCCACCTGACCTCTTCTAGTATGATTCTCCTAAGCATCACAAACTTACTACCTCCAAGTCAGTGTTCTTGATTCACATCCCCACCTCCAAATTTTTCTTCTTCAGTAAATGGCACCCAATTATTCAAACCAATAAAATATGTTATTGATTGGAATTGCATAGGTTATATTCCTTGTCCAAAATACAATTAAGTTACAAAAACCAATACAAAAAAGAGAGCAAAAAATTTAAGAAAGATGCTTCTAAATAACAAATGAATCAAAGAAGAAATGATAATGTAAATTTTTAAAATAAAGAAAAAAACACTTGAACACAACTAAAGTAATACTTATAAAAGAAATGTATAGACTTAATAGTTCATTTTAGAAAAAAAGGAAAGGTAATTAATAAACTCAGCATACAACTTAGCAAGTTAGAAAAACAACAGAATAACCTCCCCAAAAGTAGTCAAGAGGAAAGAACACAAAAACAGAAATTAATGAAAGAGAAAACAAACATCCAATAAAAAGAACCAAAGCCAAAAGCTGTTTCATTAAAACAACTAATACAGTTGCCAGGCAGGTACTGCAAATCAGTGTGGAAAGAACAAACTTCTTAATAAATGGCGCTGAGATAATCAACTATCCATATTTTTAAAAAATTAAATTGGACTCCTCTGTCACACTCTACACAAAAACAATTTCCAGATGTCTTAAAGAAAAATGTCAAAGGCAAACCTACAAATTTTGCAAGAGAATATAGAAGAATGTTCTTTATGACTTTAGGGTAGAGAGAAATATCTTAAACATGAGTATACAAACCAAAAAGGAAAAGACTGACAAATATGACCACATTAAAATTAAGAGATACTTGTCCATTAAAAGGCATCATAGCAAGAGTAGAAATATGAGCCACAAACAAGGAGAAAATACCTATAATCCTTATTTCTGACAAAGGATTAGAATTTGAAAAAGGTCTATAAATCAATCTGTTTAAAAGACCAGAAAAAAATAGAAAAAAAAAATGGGCAAAAGACTTGAAAAGGGAGCTCACAGAAAAAGAAACCTAAATCACCAACAAATCAATGAAAAGGTTCTTGCCCTCACTAGTAAATACATAAAAGAAAGTCAAAATCAACATGAGAGAGCATTTCAAAAGGTAAAGGTCTCAGAACATTAACTGCTGGTGAGGATGAGGAGTCAATGATACCCTTACACAAAGCCGATGGGAGTGTGAAGTGGTATTAACTATTCCAGGAAACAGTTTGGCATTATTTAGTAAAGGAAAGATGTGCATATCCCATGTACATCTAGTAATTCCACTCCTAGGTACATACCCTAGGCATGGGTAAGAATGTTAATAGCAGAGCTGTTAATAATAGCAAGAAAATAAAACCAATTCAAATGTCCATCAGTGGTCGAATGGATAGTTACATTGTGGTATATTTAAATACCAAATTTCACAGAAATGGAATGGAACGCAATGCTATACAGCAACGAAAACAAATAAATCATCACATACTACAACTTGGATGAATCTAGAAACATAATGTTGAGGGAGGAAATTACACAATATACATGCAGTCTGATTCCTTGTATATAAAGCTCAAAACCATGCAGAACTAACAGTATGCTGTTTAGATGGACAAACTCATAAGCGATAATGAAAACCAAGAGAGTGATAAACACTAAATTAAAGATGATGGTAGCTCAGAGGAGAGTGGAAAGAACACCACCAGGAAGAAGCGCTGAGGGGATTTCAAAGGGAATGATAATGTTCTTTGCCTTAAAGTGAGTAGTGACTCCATAGGTGCTCACTGTACTTTATACCTTATCCATTTAAGATTCTTTACTGATGATATTTCATCTAAAAATTGTTTTTATTATTTTCTTTCCCAAACCCTCAACCCCCCCAAGCCCAACACTCAGTTCCATAGAGCAAGATCTGTTGTTTCTACTTCCAAAATATACCTCAAATTTGTCCACCCCCCTTACCCTCTACCATCATCTCCCCAGTCAAAGCCACCATCATCTTTCACCCTGCAACCAGTCTCTTACCTGGACTCTCTGTCCCTCTTCTTGCCCCCCTCCAATCTAATTACCATACCACAACTAGTGAGATCTTTTTAAAGTTTAAAGATCTTACGTGATCTTGTATCATTCCCTTGTTTAAAACCGTCAATGGCTTTCCAGTACCTTACAATAAATACTAAATTTCTTACCAACGCTTACTAGGTCCTAAATGATCTGGCTCCTACCTACCCCTCCAAACTCATTTCATACACCTCTTTTCCTTGCTTACTCTGCTGCAGCCACTCTGGCCTACTTCCTGTTCCCCAAATATAATTTCTCACCTCAGGACCTCTGCCTTTACTATTTCCTCTGCGTAGAATGCTCTTCTCAAGCTCTCTTTCTGGAAGTTTCATTCACATCATCCAGATCTCAACATAAATATCATTTCCTCAAAGACTCTTTTCCAAACCACCTCTGGAGCCAGCTTCCCACCAGCTGCTATCACCTTGTTCATTTCCTTCATTGCACATGTCACAGTTACCTTGTCTGTCTATACATTTATTGTCTATCATACCAACTAGAATATAAGCTCCCTACAACGAGGAACTTTGTTAGTCTTTTCCATGGTTGGATCCATAACACTTGGTATAGCCACTAACACAAGAAAATACTCAATATTTGTAATTTAAAAAATTGAATAAATGAACCAAATGTTATAAAGAATAGCCTTTAAAATGTGTAAGTAAAACAACTACAGATATGATGTTCTTTTACAAGTAAATTGCTTCTATTTTCTAATTTAAGGATGCAGGCCTATTCCATACAAATTTCATTACTTCATATGTCTTTTTGGACCAGTTAGAAGGTCACTATATTAATCCAGACAGCAAAAAACAAAGGAAAGGATCTGAACTAAGGCAGTGGTTTCAGAAATGAAGAGAGGGGAAGGATTCTAGTGATATTAAAGAGGAGGAAATCCCTAGGACTTGGTGACATCTGGATGTGACTAATGCGAGAGAGAGAGGAGGTCCAGGATGAAGCAGAAACTTACATTTTAGGCAACTGGACTCATGTCTCCATCTCCTCGCTCCGTAAAAACATAACTCACAAGGCCATCAGCGACTGCCACTGGCTAAATCCAATGGGGTTTTGTGTGGTCTTTATCTTATTTGCCCTCTCAGAAGCATTCGACACTGGTGTCTATTAGCTCCTTGGCTTGTTGGCCCAATAACCTCTTGTTTTGCCCACATCCTCTGGTTACCTTTTCTCTGTCTCCTTTGAAGACTTCTCCTCCTCCCAGCCATCATGCTCCTCAAGGCTCAGACTTCAGCCACAACCTCCATCCCTACTTTCTCCATAGGTGATACTACTCACAGGATTTTAATCACCACATACGTGAAGGCAAACTACAAATTTATTTCTCCAGCTCTTAACATCTCTTTTAAGCTCCAGATCTGCATATGCAACTGCCCGCTTGACAAATCAACTCTGGGAAGTTTAAAAGGCTCCTCAAACTCAACATATTCAAAGCAAATCCATCACTTTCCTCCACAATCACCTAATCCATCACCTTCCTCCATCACCACCTAAGTATGCAGGCCAGAAAACTAGGAGTCATCACTCACATCTCTTTCTTCCTTGCCTCTCACTTTCAATCTATCTGTGAATCCTGTCAATTCACTTCTGATATCTCATAGCCATCCACCTCTCCCCATCCCTTCCCCAACAAGTCTAGCCCCAGCAACTATAATCTACGGCTGAGCCTATCAGCAGCCTTCAACGGTGTCCTTGCATTCACACAGCCCCTGCTTCAGTCCACTGTCCACCCTGCAGCCACAATCATCTTTTCAAAAGGCAAACCCTGCAAACCCCTTGCTGAAAATCCTTCAGTGGCTTGCCATTTCCTTTTAATAGGATACACCAGGCTCCACGTGCCCTGGCCTTGTTTGCCATTCCATTCTCATCTCATAAAATGTTCTATCTCTCTGTTCTGGCTACTCTGGTTCTCTTTAGTCCTTGGCAAACACCAGCTCCATTTTACCACAAGGCCTTTACATATGCTGTTCTTTCTGCCTAAAACACTCTTCTGCCCCATTTCAATTTGTTATCTATCACTCCCCTGGTAAATCTAAGCTCATGTCACTTCCTCCTAGAAGTATCCCTGAGCCCCTCAAGTAAAAGCATCCCTTAAAATACTCTCACAGCATCATATGCCTTCATTATGCCCATCAAGACTGCAATTCTTCATTTGTTTCTGGCACACAGTAAGCACTCGATATATACTTGTTGAACAGATGAACAAAAGAAAAAGAATAAACCAGAAGAAAGTGATGTCCCAGAACCAAGGGAAGGTAGAGTTTTGTAAAAGTGGTATCAAAAAAAAGGATATCAAGATAGTAAGGTCTTTAAATGATTCAACTGATTCTAGAGATCTTCTACCTTAAACAGATCAATGAAGTGCAGAGAACAAGCTGCTAACACATTTTCTAAATATTATATTAAACTTAACAGCAGTGTAGCTCAAATTGTGTATAATATTTTAATTCAGCAATATTAGTAAAGAATGGTCTGCTCATTCTGTTTCCAAAAACTATCTATATTGGTGAAAAAGCCATTTTTTCTCTAGTGAGTTAAAAGGAGAGAAACATTATAAAGAACACTAAAATTATAGATTACCTTCATCAATATACCATGAATTTTTTGATTTGGATTGTGGTTGTGAGTCAACAGAAGACCCATTTAAGGTATAAAATAATTCAGATCTGTTTCTATTTCCAGGGTCTGAGGTAGATCCTATGGAACAAGAAAAGTTCCTTTTAAAAATAAAGTCAATATGATGTGAAAGTTTTTCCGTAAGAGAAAATAATATGTATATGGTGTTAACAATTATTTACACAACCAACAGATGTATACAAACACAATATATTTTATTAGTGCCTTCAGCTTTTAAAATTTTGGTAACCATTTTTGCAGTGTCAAAAAGATTCTTCAGCCCAAGAAACAATATAAGAGGAGAACAGGAGTTAAGTTAAAAGAAAAGCCTGCTTTTTTTTTTTTTTTTTTAAACAAACTGCTTTAAAAAATCATTTCACATACTATGGCTTATTTCCAAATGTCAAAATCACCATTCCCCAATTTCATTTAACGAAGCTCTTGGTTCACAAACTTAACATATTATTTTAAAACGGTTGCCCTCAAAAGAAGGCAGTCTTCGAATGTATATAAATAGATGCATAAATTAAGTTTAAAAGATTTAAGGTTTAAACATTTTGGAATTGTTAGTCAACAAATCCCTTGCTGAATTTCTTCATGTCTCTGAAAAAGTGAAGCAGTATTATTTCTTATACATTAGATTTATTAAATGTAAGAAAATTTAGTGTAGCTATTGCCACAGACACATCAAGACATTCCCCTGCCTCATTACTAAAAGGACATGCTATCGTTGAGAGCAGTGGGGTCTCAAGAACCTACAACAAAATCTGATTTCTTTTTCAATTTAAAGCAGATAACTTTACACTTCATACCTATAACTAAGATCTGCTACAACATAAGTAGTACACATATCTTAAGAAAATCTTTAGGCTATTCATATTTAAGTGAGAGTAGCAAATCGGTGCTAACCTATCTAGATCCATAGGTTAACATAAAAAATACTATCTATCACTTACATATTCTATTTAATTCTACATCTCCCAGGGTCCAATGTCACATAAAATATTTCTTAAAGTACAATTTCCTTTTAAATAAGCTTGAAAACGTTTTCTTCACTAGATAATTGAGGAAAAAATATTCTTTTCTTAACCTACATCTGAGTTGAAAATTCTTGCAGGTTTTTAAATTAGCTGTTTAGCTTGTATAACTACCACCCTATACATCTATGAAATATGTGGAAGCTAACCAAAAAACAACTAAAAACTCCACATGTATTGTAAGGGAGTCTCTGGAAGAAAGACAAAAATTTTTGCTTAGTGGTTTGGAATTTAATTTGTGCCACCTCTGTTGGCAAAATCCACATAATCTCTAGTATATTTTATCCTACAAACATTATCCATAAATGATTATTTTGTAGTGTGACTCTAAACTATATATACAAATGTTACAAGTAGGGAATTCCAAAAACCAGCGTATATGGACCAGAAAAAGACACAGGTCCCCACAGGAAACTTTTCAACATTTAGAAAAGGTTGCGAACCCTTGGCTTAAGCAACACCATCTATAAACATTTTTTAGTAAAATACTAAAAATGTTTGCAAGAAGAAAGTCTACATATACATTAAGGAGTAATACCTTTTAACCTTTTTTCAATGCTATGGCAAATAAAAAATCATGTAAATAACTAAAAACTGTATTCTATTAATCCATACCTGTAGCCTTTGGTTTATTATGACTGGATGAACCTTTGTCCCCAACACCTCTTGACATAAAGGCTAGTTTGGGAGGCCTCCTTTCCTGTGTAACGCTATCTGAAACAGTAAACATGTTTTTTTAAAGATAAAAGCAAATTCTTATAGAAGAGAAACAACTGAGCAAATAATGACAATAACAACAACAATCCCTTTCCAATGAAAAAACAGAATTTTCAGAGTAGTTTTACAAATTTGTCAAGGCCATAAAAAGTACTGAAAAAGATCATACCAAAAAAAATCATTGCTGTATTTCAAAACATAATTTCTACAAGATAATACACCCCAAGTACAATTCAGCTATGTGCTTTAACTTCTTGAAAATTTAACCACTTTTAATCAATTTTATTTGATATGTTGAAACACCACCAAGAAAACCTTACTCAGTTTTTTGCAGGATTTCCCAAATCAGTATCCCCAGAACACCCCTGTGTGTTATGAAGTGTCCCACTCTCAAATATCTCTAGAAGATGCTGAGATAAACAGACTTCTTTACTGCATAACCCCAGAACCTTTAATATGCTAATATGCATTGTGAATCTCTCAAAAAGGGATATAATAAACTTATTTGATAATGTTTTTTGTGCCACTCTATTTAGCATCTCAGATTAATATATTTCATGGGACACAGATTGGAAAAAGTCTGGTTAGGTATATGTATCAGTTTTTAAAAATATATATATATGTTAAGAATAACACAAACACATATACATATAAGAGAAAAAACACAGAGAAATACATGAATGAAATGTGAATGTATTGAAATGAAATGAATAATGCAGAAAGCCAGAGATAAATGGCAACAATATTTCTGAAGAAAACACTTAAACTTTTTTGAAAAATTGGTGCAGTAATTTTGTTTTTGATACAAAGACTACCTTAAACCTTAAAGGCCAGTGATTTTCATAAGATATTCACAAAAACTGATCAAGCAAATGTAGAAAAGTCAGTCTGGAAAGTTTTCCCCTGGAAAGTTCAACATATCCGTGGAGTCCAACATGACACTTAAGAGTCCTACCTGATAAAGCTATGTATCAGCAAAAACAATATCACCCACAGTGGATTTTTGAGAACAGAAAGAGAAAAAGAGGGAAAGTTTTACATTTTAAACACAAGGGCTATTTTTTTAAGAAAAAGGAAATAATATTGAATTAATTATATATAAATGATGCTTGGTAACTTTTTTCCACAGTTGGAGGGGGAGAAGAATGCATTATTGAACAATATCTTAACTGTCTCATAATGTGATCAAATGGAATATTATTTTAATTCAAAAATTATACTGAATAACCATGTGTTTAACCAAGTGATACAGTAAATGAAAGGCTATTTACCAATATTTTTATGATGTTACCATTCCAATATCTCTAAATACCACATGTGACAGCTACTGTGAAAGTAAAACTTCTTAGTCACTGGCAAAAATTTCCAAATTACAGCATACAAATTGACTAAAGAAAACTAACTCTCACTATTAACTGTAATTAATTGCATGTAAGTACATTTCAAATTGAAAAGATATTCACATGTATACCATAATCTATATACATTATACAGTTAGTGGTGATTATAATAAAGGCAGAAAATGGTCTTAACTAAGGCCGCCTGGCAGTACCAAAAGGCCAAATGGATGAGCCGGTGGTGACAACTCTGATGGTGATGCTAGGGGAGAGCTCCAAGGGTTAGGAATATGCAGGGCACTGGAGTTGGAAATGGTGGTTATCTTCTGCCAAAGACTTTGTCATGGGGGAGGTAGGGGCTCAAATATCAACTTTGAGGAATAGGACAGTCCTGCAGCATTCTATGCAGATAAAGGGTCACATGCTAAATCTAACTTGCCCTCCAGCAGTTACATACCAACTAATTCTTTCCTTATCACAACTGTATTCATGATCCAAAATCAAAGCCTTCCATCTTAAATGAATTTTAAGAGATTACCATCTCAGGAAAAGGCAAGTATGAGAAAGTAAACAAAGTAAGGAATAAATTTGGCAGGCAATTTTGTGAGATTAAAACAATCCTGATTAAAAGATATTAAAAGAGATAGCAAGACATGTCCACCAAACGGCTAGTATAAAATGTTCATAGCAGCCTTATTTGTAATAACCAAAAGCTGGAACAATGCATTCTACAGGAGAATGGATAAACAAACTGTGATCTGTTCATGCAATGGAATATTACATAGCAATAAAAAAGGATAAACAACTGATATACAAAACACCATGGACACTGTGTTGAGAAAAGAAATGAAGCCAAAAGTACCCATTATATATACACAGCAGGAGTGCATTCAAAATAAAATTAGAAGCCTGCCCATCACTCTTAGTGATTTAATCAGAAAAAGAAAAATCCCTGGAAGAAACTTGGGTTGGAAATCATAACAATAAACCAGTGAACAATAACAAACCACAAGAAATGTCTGTGGATTTGAATGAACCACTAAATTGAGAAAATTGCTTAACTGATGTACTGCTTAACATCATCAGCCACAAGAGCATAATTCAAACCCAAATGAGAATTTAATATCCACGGAGAAATCTACTGAAGAAAATGTAAGTTTACTTGGGTAGAATGAAGAATTATAAAACCCAATACCAAACATACTATACACAACAACACAGCAAAAACCTCCTAACAGTGAGACTGCTGATCAAAGTAAATACTTTCCTTATAGACAATTTTATATGAAAAATTGTTCAAGAAATCCTGGAAGGTCCATAGAGATAACATCAGGGTTGCATACTGTGATCTAGTGCTTCAAAATAACCTTTTGGGCTCTAATTGTCTCATATGAGAGGAGTCCTGCCTATACAGACAACATTCAGGGTGATTCAGACTGACAATCTCTACAGAAGGCCACTTGGCATTATCTATCAAAATGTAAAGTACACATACCCTTTGACCCAGCAAGTCCACTTCCAGGAAGTTATCTTTTCTTTAAGATCTTATAAATATTTTAATGTAAATATGAGTATAATATATCCCATTTAAATACTCAGAAAAGTATACTGATGGCACACAAGAAAAATCTACAGATGACATGATATTGAGAGAGACAAAACATGAAAGGGCAGAATTAGTATCCAAAATGATCTGAAAATGGAAGACTGGATAGCTCTAATGACATGAAGTTAAACAGGGACAAATGTAAAGTCCTGCCATGTGTCCCCCAAATCAACCATACAAATATAGATCAGAAGCAGAAGTACATGTGAACAAAATTGGGGATTTAAGTCAAGCGTAAGTTCAGGAATCATTAATTCACTAGTTTATAAGTGCATTCATTTAGTCAAGAAATACTACCAACTCCATGCAAGGAAGGCATTACCGTGTCTCTGGGAATATAATTCAAACTGTGACAGGGCAGTCCCAAAATCTTTTCTTCCAAAGTCCTGTTCTATTGCAATAATTAGTCTACATACAGACTACGGTATTCTGTTCCCCTCTAGGTGTCCAAGTGTGAAGGTGTCTTTAACAAACCAGGTCTTATTCAGAATATCTGGAAGGCATGCCATATGAGAAATGGCTAAAATGACTCAAACTATTTAGGCTGGAGAACAGAAGATGTAGGTGTCAAGGACACTCATCTTTGAATATCTGAGGGTTGCTACAAGGAAGAGGGGCTGGATTTGTCCTAACTTCATCCCCAGTTAGAACTAGAATCAATGAGGGAAGTTATAGGAAGGTAGAGGTAAGCACGTATCCAAGGAGAGACTTTTTCACAATCAGATCTTTCTAAAATGAAATACTCTAATTTTCTTCAGGACCAAGTGACTCTTCTATCAAATGAACACATAAGTAATCTTTTAGCTATACTGGATACATGCAAACTGGAACATACATATGACATTACTCACTGAAGCATTGTTTATAATAGCAAAAGACTGAAAACAGCCTTAATGCCCATCAGTAGGGGACTGGTTTCAAAATACTGATACATTTTGGGGCTTCCTTGGTGGCGCAGAGGTTGAGAATCTGCCTGCTAATTCAGGGGACACGGGTTCGAGCCCTGGTCTGGGAGGATCCCACATGCCGCGGAGCAACTAGGCCCGTGAGCCACAACTACTGAGCCTGCGCGTCTGGAGCCTGTGCTCCGCAACAAGAGAGGCCGCGACAGTGAGAGGCCCACGCACCGTGATGAGGAGTGGCCCCTGCTTGCCACAACTAGAGAAAGCCCTCGCACAGAAACGAAGACCCAAGACAGCAAAAATAAATTAATAAACTCCTACCCCCAACATCTAAAAAAAAAATGATACATTTATAAAATGAAATAAAATGCAATAATTTAAGCAAAAGATTAAGTGTGCAATATATGTACTAATATAAAATGATCCCTATGATCGATCTACTGTTAGCTTTTTTTAAAAAGGTGCAACTTACTCTTCTGGGAAGATAAGTTGGTGTACTTTTTCCTATTCCTCCTGATAAGTACAGCTAAAAACTCTGGATGTAACATATAAAACAAAACTGAGAAGCCTCTGCAAGGCAAAGAGGGGAAGGCAGATAAGCTAGGGAGCACGGGACCTAAGGAGTGACACGAGATTTCCCTGGGTTTTCTTATTGCCTTATATATCCTAGACTTAGAGCTGAAGAAGGCAGCAACCTGGAAATGCCAATGGGGAGAGACAAAAGAAACTCCCAACAAAGGTATCCTCTCATTAGTCAAAGAATGAGAAAAGACAAACCCTAGTTAGACAGAAACTTTTAGACAATAATCACTCTATTGCAACCAAACACAGCGGCCACACCCACTCCAACAAAGGCCAAGCGGGGAATCTGGACTTCTGCCTCCACCTGACCATAATGAGGTGACACACACCCCTTGACGCGGCAAAAACAAAGTTTAAACATGATCTAGAATCTCAGAATATAATACCCAACTGTCCAAGTTTCAAATAAAAATCACTCATTATACCAAGAGCCAGGAAGATGCCAAAAAGAATTTAAAAAGACAGTCAATAAATGCCAACACTGAGATGACAGAGATGTTAGAATCATCTGACAAAGATCTGTAAAGCAATCATGGTAAAAATGCTTCAATAAGCAATTACAAACACACT